CGCGCCAGCAACCCGCGATGTGAGCTGCTCGCGCCGGCGCGCCTCCACCTCCAGACGCTTGACCTCCGCCTTGCTCTCCTCAGCCTCCCTGCGCGCATCGGCCGCCTCCGCCTCCAGGGCTAGGCTACGCTCCTCCGCCTCCTTGACGCGCGCCTCCAGGTCGTCAAATTTGCTCGCCAACGCGTCGTGGCGCGCCTGCGCGTCGCGCGCCGCCACCTGCAGGAGCTCCTGCTCGCTCGCCATCATCTGGGCCTGCCGGTGCACCGCGTCCTCGCGCTGCTTAGCAGCAGCCTCCCGAACCGAAGCCTTGCGCTCGCGCGCGTCGAGAGCACCGCCGCGCTCGGAGGTGGCCGCCGCCGCCGCCGCCGCTGCGCTCTCCTTCTCGTCGAGCGACGTCTCCCGCGCCGTGACCGCCGCTTGTGGGGCCCAGACCAGGTGAGGAGGCCAAGGCGTGAGCGAGCGACGGGGACCGGCGGTGGCGCCGTGCGGATCGACTCGATCATTCCGGAGAGTGTGGCCAGCTGCTGTTCCGAAGCGAGGCTGGCCTTCTGTTCGATGCTGGCCAAGCGCTCGCTCACAGGCTGGATCGACTCGGACAGAAGGCGGCGCACCTGCTCGGAAACCGCACGTGAGCCCCCTCCGGTTCGTGCTCTCCGGCACCTTGGGGGAGGCGAAACGGGGTGGCGCGCCATGCCCTCGAGCGCGGCGACGTCGAGCGGGGCCCCTCCTCCCCCCCAGGACGGGATCCGGCAGCTGGTGCGGCTGCTGCGCGCGTCGCGGCGGGGCAGACGCTCAAGCCGATCGAGCGGCTGGTGACATGAGCGTGCCTCGCGGAGAGGGACGAGCAGGAGAGGGGACGAGCCTTCATCCTTCGGCACCTCCCTCCCGACCAGACGGGTCCCACGCTCGCGTCGTCGACGCTGCGCTCACCCGTGCCGCTGAGGCGTGCGGCTACGAGGGCGTGCTCGGCGACGCCATCACCGCGCGGCGGGCTCGCCTGCCTGCGCGGATGCGCGGCCTCGGCCTGCGCTCGCTCGAGGAGGTGGCGCCGGCTGCGTTCTGCGCCTGCTTTGTCGAGGCGGCCGAGAGGTTCCTCGACAGGTCGACGCCCGGCGGCGGCAGAGAGCGCGGCTTCTTCCAGATGCTCGCTCCGCTCTTCGGCCACGGCGCCTTCGAGTTGCCGTACCCGAACAGCCCTCGCCTCTCGCGCTTCCTCTCGGGCTGCACCACCAACGTCAACCCGCTCGGCGCGCAGCTGGGGCAGCTGACGCCGACGGGCGAGTCCTTCAAGAAGGCGTGGGAGGGCATGCAGCGAGAGGTCCGCGGCGAGGGCGTGGCGGGACCTCTCGATGTCCGGGCTCCCGAGGCTGGCAACGGGCGGGCCGGCAGCGCTGGGCTACAGCGGCAGCTGACGCAGCAGCGGGAGCAGGTCAAGCGCAACCAGCTCAGCCGCAGCATCCTCGGGCTGCCGCACGGCGACACGCGGCGGGAGGCGTGGCTGGCCGTCGACTCGTTCTCGTCCGCGTGGGTGAGCTCATGGCCCTCGGCTCAGAACCGGTGCGAGGCGCGCGAGTTCCGCGAGATCTTCTGCACCTACCTCGGCCGGGAGAGCCCAGCCGTGCGCGCGCTCGTGGGCAAGAGCATCGCCTGCTCCGGCCGCGGCCCTCCTCGAGTCTGCGATGCCTTTGGCGTCCAGCTGGGCTTGGCGACGCTCAACGACCGCGTCCACGGCAACTGCCACGACGACATCTTCTCACGCGTGATCGGTGATGCGCTGCACGCGGGGCTGCGCGGCAAGGAGGAACCGCGCGAGATCTTCAGCGCCGTCATCCCGCCTGTCACACTCAACGGCACAGCTGGCACGCGCGGCAAGAACGGCATCGTGCCGGATGGGCGCCTGCACTGCAAGCTGCGCGAGTCCCGCACGGCGCGCTGCACGGGCACACGAGGCCAGGCGCATCCGTCTGTCCGGTGGCGCGGCACGACAGTGCAGCGCGGGCCCGAGCAGCCGCCGGCGGAGCACCTCCTCGAGGGCAAGACCATCCACCGCGGCGGGCCTCACTACATGAGCGCTCGGGCGCGCGACGATGGCCAGGGCGGCGCTGTCGCCGACAGGGCGAACCTTGTCCAGCGCGACTACGAGGCGCGGGCGGCGGCGCTCGATGCCAAGCCGCACGTGCAGGCATGGAACAACGGCTCGAGGGACGCCGTTTCCTCCGTGCTGCGCTCGTTTGGCACCGTGCGCAGCCTCGTTGTCGGGGCCTACGCGGAGGCGTCGGACGACCTGCACCAGCTGTTCGACTGTGTGGTGGAGTCGGCATCCAAGCAGCACTGGAGGCGGATCGGCGCGCGTAGCGCGAAGGAGGCGCGGTCCTACTTCGCTACGACGCTGCGGCGGGCGTGGGGCGTGCACTTTGCGCGCGAGTTCGCGCGGCACCGCATCCGACGCGTGGTGTTCGTGGGGGCCCCGCGGCGACAGCCGGGCAGGCCTCTCGCGACGGCCGATGGAGACTGGCCAGCGCTGTCGGCGGGCGAGTTTGCGGCGCACGCGCTGCGCGTAGGCGGCGCGTGGGCGGGCGGCCCGCCCGGCCGTCGGTGAGCACCGGACGCGAGGGTCGGTCGGCTCTTAACTAGCTGTATATAGTCGCGATCTGCCGGCGTGCGTATGAGCTCACTAGCTAGAGCTCACACTAGAGGCCGTCATCGCATTCGCCTTCCTGGGACCCAGCGCTGACTTCTGACTGTCGTTGCTGTCTCTCCCCCTTCTCGACTGTCTGTGCTTGTGCGTCTTGGGTCCGGAGTTGTGCGTTTATGTGAACAGAGTTCGTAATATCCCTCAAGAGTTCACGCGGAGTCGGCGCGCTTTAGCAGACGGCGCTTTCTCCTCTCGCGCATGCTAATCGCCTCGGCCTTTGGCTGCACCGTCCGACGGCTCACCGCGGATGAGTTTGCCGACGACCGCGTGCTCTCCGAGCCAGTGCTCGTCGCCGCCGCCAGTGCGCCGCCGCCGCTTGAGGCACTCGACGCCCTCACCGTCCGTGTCGTGAGCGCAAGCTCCGCCGACTCGATGCTGTACTCGCAGTTTGGCCGGGGCGCAGCGCCGGCCGAGCCGCAGCGCTTCGCGGCGTTTGCTGCAAACGCCTCCGGCATGGTCTTCTCCTTTGGCGACGAGGCGGAGACGTCGCCGGTCGAGGCCGTGATGCCTTCGGGGCTGGCGGCTCAGGCGGCGCGGGTGCTGGAGCGGGCGAGCCTCGCGGCCGGCGACGAGTGCGCGCAGTCGCAGCCGTGGCACACACCCTTGGTCTCGGCGGGCGGGCGGCGCACCGGTCTGCGGCTGCACCAGCACGGCGCAGCTTGGCTGTACCTGCTCTCGGGTGCAAAGCGGTGGTGGCTGGCTCACCCCGAGTCGGACCTCTTTGACGAGCCGTCGCGGGCCGAGGCGGTCGCCCTCGCCTCCGTGTCCGACGAGGCACAGTGGCCCCCTCCCGGCGCTGCGCCCCTCTGCTCCGTCGAGCAGAGGCCGGGCGAGCTGCTGTTTGTGCCTGCGATGTGGTTCCACGCGACGAGGAACACGGGCGGCGGGCTCACGCTCG